AAAAATGTCACAAAAAGCATCAAATTTTAGAATAGATTTGTTCAAATTGGTCACCTTTGGAACGAATTATGGCCTTCAAACGGCCAATGGAACCGTCACACACTGCCCGAATGTTGCTCTGCGGTATTTTGCCCCATTCCCGGAGAAGCGCTTGCTTGAGGTGATCGACACTTTGGTATTTTTTAGTGTCAACATTGCTTTCCAAAATACTCCAGACACAATAGTACAACGGATTGGAATCCGGAGATTTTGGTGGCCATTGTGCGCTGGAAATGAAGCGAGAAACCTCATTTTGTAACCATTCTTGGGTGGCGCGTGCTGAGTGCGGTGGTGCTGAGTCCTGTTGGAATGTCCTAGGTCTGCGGCCAAAATTTTTGCGTGCCCAAGGCTTTAATACACCCTCCAGTATATTTTCGCAATAATATTTGGCATTTATTCTCTTTCCACGGTTGATTAATACGAGCGGAGAGCCACCATCGGCGCTTGAGTTTTGGTTGCCAACCAAAGATACACATTTTCAGCTGACCTCTTTGGCAAGGAAACACGATTATTTTGTTTGCTTACAAACTGCTGAACAACGAATGTTTTCTCATCGGAGACCAAATCAAATTCGGCAGTTCACCACTTTCGGCAAAGCGAAGCAACTCTTTAGCTCTTTTGAGTCTATTTTCTTCCTGTTGCGGTGTAAGTTCTTGCACTTGTTGGAATTTCAGTGGCTTTACTCCGAGCTCATTTTTCAATATTTGCCGAATGGAATATTGCGATATGTTCAGCTCATGAGCCATTTTTCGGCCACTGCGACGAGGGTTTCGATCAAGTCGCTTTTTTACTTTTCGAACCATTTCTGCTGATGTTCCTGTTTTCTTCCGTCCACTTCCTTGACGTCAGGCTACGCTACCAATATCACGGTAACGAGCGATGGTTCGAGATGCAAAAGATTTATTTACATTTGGTTCGGCTAAATTAAAAATTCAGCTACTGTAAGGCTTCCGAATAAATTAAAATCGCAGCATTTTCTTTTCCCTCCAAAAATAAAACAAAAGCTTACTTACAATTCCCAAAAGTGTTGTAATAATTATAAATTATTCCCTTCTCCTTTGGTCACCCAATGCCATGCGATCTGGGGAAGGGTTATAACATAACTTTCAGTTTTGCCACCTTGTGGTTGAATGAGTCAGTCATTACCCCTTAATCGGCTGCATTAATTAAGACTGGGAACGAGTAATATACCTGCAACCATTCGATGTAAAGCGAAAAACCTAGCTAGAAACCAAGACCAATGAAACAGGCAAATTTCACTTGAATATTCGATGTTTTGTTCTTGGTTTCATTTCCGTTACAGGGCCACAATAAATTTCTTGAATTTTGTGTAATTCTTTGTTTTTTTTTTTTTGGTAGACGCATGGCGAACCACGCCAGTCATGCATAGCCGGGGAAAAAGCGAAAAATAAACAAACAAGGAATGCAGCAAAAAAACTGAGTAGACAAAAGACCAGAACTCCCAAAGCCATTTGCCATGGAACTCCTTTCTCTGGAAAAAGTTTCTTTCTTCTGCTGCAGCTTTTTTGCATTTTTTTTGTATTACCAATAATATGGGTGTTGTCCCTGGCTCTATTGACATGGTCGGGAGTTGGGTCGACAAAAAACAAACAAGGAAAAATGTTTTCAAAATATAATCAGGAAAAGTCTGGAGCATGGTTGTTATTCTTCCTTTTTTCCAGTGAAAGCATTGCCAAGTGATTATGCCTTGGGCAAGGTGGGAGGGGAGTACCACAGCTCACCTGAATACAGGTGTACTAGAGAAAAACAAGTTATGCTACGGCAAAACGACAATTCTATGACAAATTCTACACACACACATAAATATATTCACATGTATGAATATGTATTTGTGTTGCATGTCAAGGTTATTGTACTTTGCAACACCACACCAAGTTGTTTGTCTGATAATGGGCGACTAGCCTTCCTCGCGGGCGAATTGTGACAAAAACAAAAAGCTGCCACCACCTACCCAATGCCAGAGTTTTAATTTTTTTGTTGCTGAATTTCAACACACCTAAAATTGAATTGATGAATTGTCAAAAATTAATGCATTATACATTGGAATTTTGATGTGAGAAATGAAATTAATATGGAGTTCCTGGAGAGTTATAAATAAAAACGTAACTATTTTTAGAAAAAAAGTTAAAAAAAGATCATTTGAAGTAAAATAAGAAAGTTTAATATATTTGCATTTAAAGTTATAAAAAAAAACAATTATCAAAGATAAAATAGAATCGCCGACTATATATGAAGATTGTATTCGGAAAATGAAATCATAATCCAAGAAATGTCTGTAGAATGACTTATATTCCTGGGAAGCATGTGGATAATCTTCTATTTATAAAAGTAGAGTGGTGAGTCCTGTTCCTCCAAGAAATTATCATTAGATTTTGAATATTAATTTTTTAAAAAATAGAGGAAAAACAAACTCATTGATATGAAGTGGTTGGAGTTTTTTTTCCTAATCAACGCCAAGAGGAGTAGAATACAATAATTTAATATATTTGCATTTAAAGTTATTAAATTCAAAAATTATCAAAGATGAAGCTGAATATAGTTGTATAGGTAACCGGAATACCCTTCGATAGGAGGCCAAACACATGTCTCAATGTAAATCTGAAGGCCTTAACATACAAGACCAAGACTCCTTCTCATAGAGGACCATAAAATTCTTCTCATAGAAAAATTTAAAATCTTCTCAAAGAAGTAAAAAAGTTATCTCGTAGAAGACCAAAAGGTCTTCCTATAGCAGAAAAAATGTCTTCTCACAGAAGGCAAGAAGTTCTTCACCCAGAAGAAAAGAAGGTCTTCTCACAGAAGACAAGAAGGTCTTCTCATAGAAGACAAGAAGTTGTTTTCATAGAAGACAGAAGGTCCTCTAATAGAAGACAAAAAGGTCTACTCATAGAAGACCAGAAGGTCTTCTCATAGAAGACCACAAGGTCTTCTCATAGAATACCAGAAGATCTTCTCATAGAAGACCGGAAGGTCAACTCATAAAAGAGCAGAAGGTCTTCTTTTAGAAGACCAGAAGGCCTTCTTATAGAAGACCAAAATGTCTTCTCATAGAAGATCAGAAGGTCTTCTCATAGAAGATCAGAAGGTCTTCTCATAGAAGAACAGAAGGTCTTCTCATAGAAGAGCAGAAGGTCTTCTCATAGAAGAGCAGAAGGTCTTCTCATAGAAGAGCAGAAGGTCTTCTCATAGAAGAGCAAAAGGTCTTCTCATAGAAGAGCAGAAGGTCTTCACATAGAAGAGCAGAATGTCTTCATATAGAAGAGCGGAAGGTCTTCATATAGAAGAGCAGAAGGTCTTCTCATAGAAGAGCAGAAGGTCTTCTCATAGAAGAGCAGAAGGTCTTCTCATAGAAGAGCAGAAGGTCTTCTCATAGAAGACCCGAATGTCTTCTTATAGAAGACCCGAAGGCCTTCTCATAGAAGACCCGAAGGTCTTCTTATAGAAGTCTCGAAGGTCTTCTCATAGAAGTCTCGAAGGTCTTCTCATAGAAGACCCGAAGGTCTTCTCATAGAAGACCCGAAGGTCTTCTTATAGAAGACCCGAAGGCCTTCTTATAGAAGACCCGAAAGTCTTCTCATGGAAGACTCAAAGGTCTTCTCATAGAGGACCCGAAGGTCTTCTCATAGAAGAGCCGAAGGTCTTCTCATAGAAGACCAGAAGGTCTACCAGAAGGTCTTCTCATAGAAGATCAAGACGCCTTCTCTCAGAAGACCAGAAGTTCATATCATCGAAGACCAAAAGGTCATATCATAGAAGACCAGAAGGTCTTCTCATAGAAGACCAGAAGCTCTTCTCATAGAAGACCAAAAGGTCATCTCATAGAAGACCAGAAGGTCTTCTCATGGAAGTCCAGAAGGTCTTTCCATGGAAGACCAGAAGATCTTCTCAAACAAGACCAAAAGGTCTTCTGAAAGAAGACCAGAAGGATTTTTTGTAAAAGACCAGAGGGATTTCTTATAGAAGACCAGAAACTCTTCTATCTTGTACACAAAGATCTTCAGATAGTAAATCAGAAGGTCTTCTTACAGAAATCAGAACCTTTAATTGTTCGCCTTTAACTGAAACAAATTGTGGAGGTCATGTAATTGTCTGTGGTTGTTTTTTTTTTGACATATGGCAACGTTAGAAGTCAACACACTCTCTCATTCTCATTTTTTTGTTGCTCATCATCTCAACGAAGACGAAATCCGATGTGTTTTTCGTTAGAAATTCCAACCTACAATGTTGAATAATACTGAGGTACAGTGAATACCACCATACACTTTTGGAGACTTGTGATGAGAAGAGGTGTATTGGTTTTTGGTAACATAAAATGGAATAAAACACCATAATGCAATACGTTCCTAGGTATATGGACATGTGATTCTAATGTTGTATTTTGGAAGATAATTTATATTTTTTATGTTGGATTTTTTCATATTTGTTTTTTTATTTTTTTAATAGTTGTACATTTTTTCAATGGACAAATTTCTATTTTTTTACATTTTATTATTATTTTTTTTATTTACTTATTATTTATTTGTCTGATTTATTAAATTGTTGGTAATTTATTATTTTTCTATTAATCAATTCATGAATAAATTATATTTACAATTCCAATGTTTTTTGTCTGTACTCCCTTGCCATTAATAGTCTTGCTTCACAGCACTTGGCATCGCCATGCAATACCCACAAGAATACACACCATACAATAACAAAATAACCCACCACACAGCTAACAGAGAAATCTTCTCAACAGACAAAATCAAACTCTGAGATTAAAACACTGCACGAGCACGCACACGAAACGACAAAGTTAAACAAACAACAATACCTACCGACAAAAACCACATAGCGGCCATCGTGTGTGTGTGAGACAGAGACAACGCTAAACATACATCCGACTCTCAGAGCATGAAAAACGTATGATGCCCTCAGTTTTCTCAGACACACAGCACCATTGAATAGTCGTCATACAACGAGTGGTAGTGTGTGTGCGTGTGGTATTCGGCGGCTTGCTTTGCCAAACGAACAGACAAAATACCAAATAGAGACAGCAACGAGTCAGCCAGCCAGGCAAGCAAAGCATTGCATGGTCGGTCGGTCGTAGTGACGCACAATAAAGATTTTCTTGTCGTGGAATTCATACAAAATACATAAATTGAAAAGTGTTGGAGTGTTAACAACTGAAAAAAAATGAATAATTTCACAGCGGAGCGCAACAACTGCCGACGTCGTTTGATTTTGTTGGTAAAACAACATCCGATTCTGTGGAACAAAACCGCCGAAAATTACAATCGTAATCGGCCACAAAAATTGCAAACATGGCAAGAAATCGCAGAACTGCTTGGTTTGTCGGGTAAGTAAGGGGAGGGATGGTGAGAGGAGAGGAGAGTGAGTGTTTGATTGGATGAGGGAGCAAGGTAGAGCGAGAGCAGAGGAAATTTGTTGGATAATAACAGGGAGAGTGTTAATGTGGTGAGAATACAGACATTGTCTGATGGTGTTGCCAGATGCTAGAATGTGATGGGTGCTAAGAGAACACAGTGGGGTGTTTTGTTATGATAATTAAAATAATAAATGTGTTAAAAAAAAGAAAATATGAAATAAATAAAAAATTGAATAAATAAAAATGTATTAATTAAAAGTAATATATAATAAATAAATATATATAATAAAAATACATACATAATGTATATAGGTAGATTAATAAATAAATAAAATATAATAAATATAAATAAAAAAATAATAAAAACACAAGTCATTAAATAATTCTAAAATAAAGAATAAATTAAAGACATAATAAATAAATTAAATAAATAGTAAGCAAAGAATTAATAAAAAATAAATTATTTAATCACTAAATGAAATATAAATATTGAATATATTCTTTTAAATAAATTAAATAAATAAAAAAGTAAAGAAAAAAAAAATAAAAAATACATTAATTAATCCCTAAATACAAAATAATGAAATATAAGAATTAAATATATATTTTTTAAATTGTCAAAATCATTCTTTGACTCCAATCTGAAAAATTTTCTCTACATCTATATTGATCTCAACCCTTTCCCTCCACTCCTCTCTTTTCAGTTGATAAAATTCGCCGCACCTGGGAGAATCTACGCGATCAATATCGCCGCGATCTGAAACGTGAACTCAAATATGGCTTCAAATCAAAATGGCGTTTCTTTGGCGATATGGATTTTATACGTGACATGGTGGCCTGCAAGGGACAAGTGAATGAGGGCAGTGATTCGGATTCGGAAATGGAACCTCATGAAATGCATCAATTTTCCAAATATGTTTTTGAAAATGACACCGATTATCCAGAGGCATCGGATATGCCAAGCACTTCGAATGCTGCAATGAACGCTAGTGGTCAGAATGATAATTTCCAGCCGATTATTCTGAGCAAGCAATGGCAAATTCCCAATCAAACGGAAAATCAAATGACCACACCAATACAAGCTATAGCGGGACAGATTACCCGAAGTCCTGAAAAATCACAAAGAGTATCCCAAAATGATGCTGTGGAAGTGGTTGAATCCTGTGACTCATCGAGGAGCTATCGCCAGAGTGGTGGAATGCCAAATCCCATGGTGTTAATGGAAATGATGGCCAAACGAGAACCCGAAGCTGAGCGTGTAGTTGAAAGGGAACGTAGAGTATCCTTAGTTGCTACACCACCCCGGCAATGTATGCAGTCGCCAGCAATTAATCAAAATCGACAATTTACTTCGCCTCAATATTCGCGACATTTTCCCCAAGAATCCTTGGTTAGTACCTCGGATATACGACGTTTCGAAAATCCCCCAGAGTCACCTCAAAGAAATGTCAATGTTCCACCCGTGGTAATTTCTCCATCCAACAATGGCTTGCCCAACTCCATGGAACTAATGGAAATGCTGGCCAAAAGAGAACCCCAAAATGATTCGGATTTCGAAATCGAGGCCGTGACAATATCACCATCGAGACAACAAACTCCAGCTTTGCCTAGGCAATTTCATCAAGAGCCACAAGTTTCCACCTCAAGTGCTAGGTCTAATGGTGGCACACCTGGTGAGGATGCTGCCGTGGAAACGCCTCGCAGTAGCTCTGCCCCCAAACGCAAACGCAGCATTGAATCCGCCGATCTGGAAACTAAAGATGAGGATTACTATTTCGTTATGAGTTTGCTGCCCTCCATACGTCAGATACCGCGCAATCGCAAATTTGCCCTGAGAATTGGCATCATGAATTTGATAGCCAAAGATTTGGAAGAGGTGTGCAAATGAGATCGGCTGAATGGCAGGAATCGAGCGGGGAAAAGAGGTGCGAAAACCTAAGGATTGAGATATTTTTCTCCCTCTTTCTCTTGGTTGCGGCAATGGCGGGTTGAGAGAGTAGTAGGGTATAATTTATTTATTTTAATTAAAAATTACGTATCTTAAAAAAGATGAAAAGTGTTCCAAATAAAAATATTCAATGACGGATTGCCTTTCATTTTGTTTGAAGACTTTCAAACATACATCTTCGATATAGCCACTTAACATTTTAGTCCTTCGAGCCGGATAGAGAATTGAGCGAAGCAGTAGTGTTCCTTTTCTCGATATTACATTTGGTCCTTCGAGCCGGATAGATAATTGAATTGACAAGCGAAGAGCGAGAATGGATTCTTTTCTAATTTTTTTATATTTGGTCCTTCGAGCCGGATAGAGAATTGAATTGACAATCGAAGAGTGAGATTGGATTCCATTTTCATTTTAACATTTGGTTCTTCGAACCGGATAGAGAATTGATTCTACAACCGAACGAAGCGGTAGAGCTTGTTTTCTCGATTTTGTATTTGGTCCATCGAGCCGGATAGAGAATTAAATTACCAACAGAATATCGAAGATGGATTCCTTTTTAATTTTAACATTTGGTTCTCCGAACCGGATAGAGAATTGATTCTGCACCCGAACGAAGCAGTGGTGTTCCTTTTCTCGATATTACATTTGGTCCTTCGAGCCGGATATAAAATTGAATTGACAATCGAAGAGCGAAGTTGCATTTTTTCCCATTTTTACATTTGGTCCTTCGATTTGGATAGATAACTGATTCTACAACTGAACGAAGCGGTAGTGCTTCTTTTTTCGATTTTGTATTTGGTCCTTCGAGCCGGATAGATAATTGGTTCTACACCTGAACGAAGCTGAAGTGTTTCTTTTCTCACTTTTACATTTGGACCTTCCAGCCGGATAGAGATTTGAATTGACAATCGAAGAACGAGGTTGGATTCCTTTCCCGTTTTTACATTTGGTCCTTCGAGCCGGATAGGGAATTGATTTTACACCCGAAGGAAGCTGTAGTAATACTTTTCTTGATTTTACATTTGGTGCTTCGAGCCGGATAGAATTGAATTGACAATCGAAGAGCGAGATTGGATTCCTTCTTTTTTTAAATTTGGTCCTTCGATCTGGATAGAGAATTGCTTCGACAATTGAGGAGCCAGGTTGGATTCCTTTCTCCTTTTTAAATTTGGTCCTTCGAGCCGGTGGTGTTTTTCGTTTCTCGCTCTTACACATTCGGAAAATTCATTGAAAAATTCCGCCATTTCAACCTTGTTCCGAACATTTTTATTTATTTTTTAATTGACTACAGTTTTTTAACCATGACATCAATAAAAAAAAATAAATAAAAATGTTTCAACACAATTTTCATATTTGAAAATATCAAAGCGGAATCAACACACAAAAACCGAGGATAATATCAATGACCCTGATGTTTTTTTTTTCCTTCTTGTGTGTGTGCGGTGACAACAGCTAGACGCCACCGTATCAAAAAGGAAAGGATTGTGTGCACGTGTAGTTGTGCATTGTTTGGTGTAGCAGGTTTGAAGGCAACGCAACCAAAACAATGCCAGACCAAGGATGCCGCCGAACTCAAGGTTTGAGTTATGGTATTAGACACACTGCAACACTGTACTGGAGGAGACACCAGAAGGACAGGATGGGTGAACGAGGCAGTGCATCGAGGTGAGTGTGTGTGTTTATGTCTGTAACAAGGGCAAGGACACCGGGGCATGCGCTGTGGCCAGTTGTTTGGCAAGGTAAATGACATGGCATTTGTCGGAAAATCATGCATATCATAACAGAGAAAGAGATTTTCTCTCTCTCTCTCGTTCGCTCTCTGTTTATAGCTGCAATGTTTGGGTTTTAAATTTTGTCTATGCGGCCGGTATATCCAGGGTTATGTGAAGACCTTGTCGCGGATTTTATTTTTATGAGGCCTCCGAAAAGCAATTCGGTGCCATTCGACCTTCTGGGAGCCCATTTATTAATACGGTTAAGGTTGTAGTTGTTGTTGCAATGTTTGTCCTCTGAACGTCTCTTTGTCCTAATTGCAAATAAAACAAAAAATATTTCAAAGAAACACTTAATCGTCATATTTTGTCACAAGGATTTATATGAGAATGATGGGACAAGAAAGAGGTCATATCAAACAGAGGATTAAAAAATCCACGTCACAGATTTCTCCAAGTCACAAGTCCTGCAGAACTTCTATGGACTACAGAAGACCCGAATGACTTCTCTGCTTTCTGGAACACTTGGAGGTCTTTTATGGTTCCTAGAAAACCTGGAGGTCAGCAAGCGTCTGTAGATGGCGCAGAGGTTTCCCATGGTCTCCAGAAGAACTGGAGGACTTCAATGGTATCCAGAAGACCTGCAGGTATTCAATGGTTTCCACAAGACTTGTAGGTCTTTAATGGTCTCCAGATATCCTGGGGGTCTCCTATGGCCTATAAAAGACGTGCAAGTCTCCCTTGAATGCTAGAAGTCGTGGATATCTTCTATGGTTTTAGAAAATCTTGAACGTCTTCTATAGTCTCCTTGAGGTCTTCCCCTTCAGAAGAACTGAAGGAAGACCTCCAGATCTTCCATAGACTATAGAAGAAGACATGGAGGAACTTTGTGGTCTATAGCAGATCTGGAGGAATTATATGGTCTATAGAAGACCTGGAGGTCTTTAGAAGACTGGAGGTCTTTGAAATACCTGGAGATCTTCTAAGACCTCTTGAAGATCTTGAGGTCATCTATGGGCTTCTGAAGACCAGAAAATCTTCAATGGTCTCCAGAAGACCTGAATGTATACAACGGTCATCAGAAGACCTAAAGGTCTTCCATAGTCTACAGAAGACCTCCAGTTCCATGGCTAATAGAAGAATGAAGGTCTTCTATAGTCTATAGATGACCTGGAGATCTTTTATGGTCCAAAGAAGACCTGGAGGTATTTTATGGTCGCTAGAAGACCAGAGGATCTTCTATGGTCTATAGAAGACCTGGAGGTCTTTTAGTGTCCATATAAGACTTGAAGGTCTTCTAGTGTCTATAGAAGACCTGAAGATTTTCTAGTGTCTATAGGAGACCTGGAGCTCTTCTGAAGACCTGGAGCTCTTCTAGTGTCCATAGAAGACCTGGAGGTCTTCTAGTGTCTATAGAAGACCTGGAGGTCTTCTAGTGTCCATAGAAGACCTGGAGGTCTTCTAGTGTCCATAGAAGACCTGGAGGTCTTCTAGTGTCCATAGAAGACCTGGAGCTCTTCTACTGTCCATAGAAGACCTGGAGGTCTTCTAGTGTCCATAGAAGACCTGGAGGTCTTCTAGTGTTCATAGAAGACCTGGAGCTCTTCTACTGTCCATAGAAGACCTGGGGGTCTTCTAGTGTCCATAGAAGACCTGGAGGACTCCTAGTGTCCATAGTTGACCTGGAGGTCTTCTAAAGACCTGATGGTCTTCCAGTGTCCATAGAAAACTTGGAGGTCCTCTAGTGTCCCTAGAAGACCTAGAAGTCTTCTTCTGTCCACAGAACACCTGAACATCTACAGAAGACCTGGAAATATTCCAGTGCCTATAGAAGACCTGGAGGTCTTCTAGTGTTTATAGAAGACCCGGTGGTTTTCTAGTGTCTATAGAAGACCTGGAGGTCTTCTAGTGTCTGTAGAAGACCTGGAGGTCTTCTAGTGTCCATAGAAGACCTGGAGGTCTTCTAGTGTCCATAGAAGACCTGGAGGTCTTCTAGTGTCCATAGAAGACCTGGAGTGTCTTCTAGTGTCCATAGAAGACCTGGAAGTCTTCTAGTGTCCATAGAAGACCTGGAGGTCTTCTAGTGTCCATAGAAGACCTGGAGGTCTTCTAGTATACATAGAAGATCTGGAGGTATTTTATTGTCCATAGAAGATCTGGAGGTCTTTTAGTGTCCATAGAAGACCTGGAGGTCTTCTAAAGACCTGATGGTCTTCCAGTGTCCATAGAAAACTTGGAGGTCCTCTAGTGTCCATAGAAGACCTAGAAGTCTTCTTCTGTCCACAGAACACCTGAACACCTACAGAAGACCTGGAAATATTCCAGTGCCTATAGAAGACCTGGAGGTCTTCTAGTGTCTGTAGAAGACCTGGAAGTCCTCTATGGCCCCTAGAAGCCCTGGAGGTCTTCTATGGTTCTTGAAAATGTGAAGGTCCTTTATTGTCCTTTTTTCTTCAAACCCTCTCTGTCCATTCGCAGCAACAAATCTCCCATCTCATACAGCCACACATTGAATTGCCACTTGGCCAAATCCTTGAGTTCATTAGGCCTATTAAGGGTCATTAAAATCCATTTTTATAATTTTCTCTTAAATGGCACCTTCCATCACGTCCTGTATCCCTCTGAGCTGAACTAATTTAAATTCAACGCAGATTGTGCCACAAATAAATAAAATTGAAGAAGCAAAAGAAATCACCCAAATATTTGTCCCATACGTTTGCGGAATTCCCAAGAATTTAAAAGGAGAGGGTGTCCTCTCAAAAAAGAATCCTTAAGGATAATGGCCTCACTTACAAAACGTGAATGGCTTTTCTTTGCTGCACAAGAAAGCCCCCCCTACAGAATGTTAATGAACCTCCAAAAAATGTGTGTTTTCTTTGATGGCAACAAAAGCCAAAAATATTTCCTCGGCTCCTCATGACTCATTCTCAATGCTCTCTGCGTTCTCCTAACAAAGACTGAGGACAATAAATGTTAAATATGTTAGTTACTCCATCCTGTCGGCGATGATTTGAATAAAGAAATTCGGGTTTTTTTTTTGGTTGGTAGGTTGTTAGCACCTACTGCCTGGGTCGGGATGTTGGCTTTGTCGATATGGGTCATTGTTGGGTTCAAAAGGTCAGCGGCTCCAGGCATTGACTGCGACCTAAGGCCATGTATATGGAGCACCTCAAAGCCAATATAAAGCAAATTTGCTGAAATCTCTGTGTGCTTTCCAATAAAGGACAACTGAAGAAGAACATCCGTTAATTTTGTGTGGTGAAGGTATAAAGGTCAAAGGGCAAATTTCCCAAAAAAGAGAAAGAATTTGGGAAACAAAGCAAAACAAAAGCGAACACAAAAAAAGGGAACAAGGATTG